CCTCCTCCTCCTCCTCCTACCTCCTCCTCCTCCTCCTCCTCCTCCTCCTCCTCCTCCTCCTCCTCCTCCTCCTCCTCCTCCTCCTCCTCCTCCTCCTCCTCCTCCTCCTCCTCCTCCTCCTCCTCCTCCTCCTCCTCCTCCTCCTCACCACCACCACCATGATCATGTCCGCTGCAGCCCATTGCGTTTGATCAGGTGCATGCGGTGCAGGTTGATGACGGGCAGTCCGTCTCCATCGTCACCGCTGACGGCATCCACAAACTCGGTAAGATCGTGCGGCGGTGTGTGCACGCATGACAACAAGGCATCGCTGTCACCAAGACACACACGCAACTCACACACGCGACTCACTCACTCACACACTCTCACACACTCGCACACACACACACACATACACTCACTCACTCACACACACACATACACTCACTCACTCACTCACACACACACACACACTCGCACACACACACACATACACTCACGCTCTTTCTTCGTTGCCTGCAGGCACGACGTCCCAGCTGGTCACGGACAACATGGTGACGCTGATTGAGGCGTATTGCATCTACAAGGCCGGCCGCGCCGTGGCAGCGGTGGGAGAAGGTGGTGGTGGAAGGGGAGAACAGGGAGGGGGTGATGTTGTCTGGTATGGTGGATGTTGTTGCGTCCAGACACGCGCTTGCTTGTTTCGTGCATATGTTGTGTCGGATTGTTTCATTTCATGAACCACCCGATCGTTCTAAGACACGCATCCTTACACACAACACACACAACACACACATACACATACACATCACACACGTCACCCAGTATGCGGACATCAACGTGCCCTATGGCGCGAACTACGGTGTACTCGAGCGCTCGGATGCGCAGGCCATCCTGATGAAGCATGGTGCCACCGACGGGCTGTACCTCATTCGCAAGTCGCCCACCAGCGAACACGACTATGGGCTCTCAGGTCGGTGGTGGTGGTGGTGGTCATAGGTGGTGGTCATTGGGGTGGTGGCTGGTGGCTGGTGGCTGATGTGTTGTGCATGTTATGTTGACTGGCTGTTGATGGTGGGTGGGTGGTGGTGTAGGTGGTTTGTTTTGGTGGTTGTTGGTGCCTTGTGCTTCTTCTTCTCACCCATGTACACGTACTTCACGCCTTTTCACGCTTTCGCATGCACCATTGCTTTTTTTTTTTTTTTCCGATGGGCAGTGTGCAAGGACAAGACCGTGACCCATTTCAAGGTGAAGCTCTTTCCGTCCGGAAAATACGGAATCGGAACAGGACTCCACTTCCTCACCGTTGGCGAGGTGCCAAGGCGTTTCGTTGTGTTTGTTTGTTTGTTTGTTTGTTTGGTTTGGTTGCTTGTTTGTTTGTTTGTTTGTTTGTTTGTTTGTTTGTGTGTGTGTGTGTGTGTTGTAATTGTGTTTGTGTGTTGTAATTGTGTTTGTGTGTGTGTGTGTGTGTGTGTGTGTGTGTGTGTGTGTGTGTGTGTGTGTGTGTGTGTGTGTGTGTGTGTGTGTGTGTGTGTGTGCACTAGCGTCATGCTTTGAGTTGTTGCGAGTGCATGAGCAGCCCTACTTGACCCCTCACAACCAACCCTACCTCCACCTCCACCTCCCCGCACTCTCATCCTCGCCTCGATGATGCACCAAACAGCTCGACGAGCACTATCACTACTACCGCGATGGTCTTGTGCATGTGCTCACCAAAAACGTCATCGGGCTTGAGCAGACATACGTGCGTGTGTTGACGGCGGCTGCCGTTGTCATTGTGGCTGTGTGCATGTTGTGCATGTGTGTGTGTGAACAAGTTGTGCGTATGTGCGTGTGTGCGTGTGTGCGTGTGTGCGTTTGGTATCCACACTTCCCTGCCTGTCGCGTGAATGTGTTGCTCACACCAAAATGTCCGCTTCGTTTCCTGTGTCTCGTCTCTCCTGCGTCACTCCCTCCCTCTCCCCCCCCCCCTCTCGACCAGGAGTCGAGCACGTACGCGACGGCGACGGCCGACCAGACCGCATTCCGCTTGGACGAAATGGTGACGCGCTGTGATGCACACACACACATATGTGCACACACACACACATGTGCACATGCACACACACGCACGTGCACACACACACACACACGCACATGCACATCAGCACACGCACGCACACACACGCACATGTGCACACACACACACACGCACATGAGTACATCAGCACACACACATGTGCACACATACGCGCACTCACGCATGCACACGCACACGCGTATCACCACACACACCACACGCGCGCTCATGCACACGCACATTCTTTCGTTCACGCTGCTCTGCATGCCACATGCGTGTGCGTGTATGTGTTCAGCACTACGTTCTTGACGAGAGTTTGGACGACGACCCGCGTCCGCGCAAAACAATCAGAGACATTGAGGTGAGGAATGATAGATGGTGGTGGTGGTGGTGGTGGTGATGGTAGTGGTGGTGGTGCGTGAGTTGTTATGTTGCTGCTGTGATGTGTGGCTTTGACAACCTTGAGGCTTGTAAATGCTGCCCATACCTGCACATAACACGCAGCACAGACGCACATGAACGCACATGAACAAGCACGCGCACACCTTCGCTTCCTCATGCGCACGCACGCACACACGCACACGCACACGTCCCGCCTCACCGTTCGCTCGTCCACAGGTGCATCGGTCTGAAATCCGACTTGGAAAGGAACTTGGCTCCGGCGAGTTTGGAACCGTCCTTGAAGGTTCGTCACGACTTGAGCGAGAGCGTATGAAATGATGGTGTTGCGTGTGATCCTGCATGGTGTATGACACTTTGGCGCAGTTTTGTTGCTGCTGTTGGCGTGTGTGTTGTCATTTGATATCGGATGCACACTCTCCTTCACATGACACAGCTCACATTACATCATCATCATCCTCATCATCATCATCATCATCATCATCATCATCATCATCCTCATCATCATCATCATCATCATCATCATCATCATCATCATCATCATCATCATCATCATCATCATCATCATCATCATCATCATCATCATCATCAGCTGTGCTCGCCCGTTCCGGCCAGGCCGCCATGACCGTCGCCGTCAAGCAACTCAAGGTCAAATCACACACACACGCGCGCGCGCACACACACACACACACCCACACACACACGCACACACTCACTCACTCACCCACTCACTCACCCACTCACTCACTCACCCACTCACTCACTCACTCACTCACTCACTCACTCACTCACTCACTCACTCACTCACTCACTCACTCACTCACTCACTCACTCACTCACTCACTCACTCACTCACTCACTCACTCACTCACTCACTCACTCACTCACTCACTCACTCACTCACTCACTCACTCACTCACTCACTCACTCACTCACTCATCATTCTTTCCCTCCCCCCCCCCCTTGTTCTTTCTCGTTCTTTTGTTTCATTTTCTGGTTTTGCTTGCAGGCACCGCCCGGATCGACTGCCGAGCGCGAGTTCCAACGGGAGGCGGAGGTGATGGTTGCACTCGATCATCCGCACATTGTGAAACTTCTCGGCGTGTGCAGCAGCAGTCCCATGCTCCTCATCTGCGAGGTGATGTGTGTGTGTGCGTGGGGGGGGGAGGGGAGGGGGAGGGAGAGGGGAGGGGAGAGTTGTTTGTTTGTTTGATTGTTTGGTTGGTTGGTTGGTTGTTTGTTTGTTTGTTTGTTTGTTTGTTTGTTTGTTTGTTTGTTTGTTTGTTTGCTTGCTTGCTCTGCATGCTGTGATTTGTTTGCTTGTGTGAAAAACTCACCCACACTTCCTCCCTTCCTCCCTCCCTCCCTTCCTTCCTTCCATCAGATGATGCGCGAGGGGCCGATCAACAAGTACCTCCGCGCCAACATCCACACCATCACCGTCCCAACACTCCTCCACTACATGACGCAGGTCCCGTGACAGTGCTTGCATTGTGTGTGTGTGTGTGTGTGTGTGTGTGTGTGTGTGTGTGTGTGTGTGTGTGTGTATGTGTGTGTGTGTGTGTGTGTGTGTGTGTGTGTGTGTGTGTGTGTTACGTTGGTGGAGCCTCTCTTCATCCCTCACTTCCAACACTTAAATCGTCGTCGTCACGATGCAGATTGCTGACGGCATGAAGTATCTTGAGTCTGTCGGTTTCGTCCATCGTGACCTCGCTGCCAGAAACATTCTCGTCCAGGACAAGGACACCGTATGTGTTTCATTTCAACATTTCATTTTTGTTCGAGAAGTGTTTGGAACGCAAGCGCGGCCAGTGACGCTCTCATGTGTGTGTGTGTGTGTGTGTGTGTGTGTGTGTGTGTGTGTGTGTGTGTGTGTGTTAGCAACGTGTTCGTGCAACAAACACCCGCGTTCACGTACATTCATACGCGCGTGTTCACATGCGTCCACTGCCCACATGACACGTGCGCAGGTGAAGATTGCAGACTTTGGGCTGTCTCGTGTGATTGACCACTCGGACTACTACCGGGCGGAGGCGCGAGGCAAGTGGCCGATCAAGTGGTACGCGCCCGAAGCAATCCTCTACAACAAGTTCTCCAGCAAGGTGCACGCGCGTTGTGTGCGGTGGCGAGGGAGAGGGGGATCACGGGAGGGCGGGAGAGGGGAAGAGGGAGAGAGAGCACGGGCACCGTGGCTGAGAGTGTGAATGCGTGTGTGTTTGTACATGGGTAAGTGTAGCAAACACTTGCACACTCACACGCATGTGCTCAATCACACACCACACACACACACACACTCACTCACACACTCACTCACACACTCACTCACACACACACACTCCTTCCGACTGCCTGTGTGTCCGAGCAGGGCGACGTGTGGAGCTTTGGCGTGACGAGCTGGGAGATCCTGCAGTACGGTATGAAGCCTTACCGCGGACTGAAGGGCCGGCAGGTGCTGGAGGCGATCAACAAGGGCGGTCGACTGCCGCGACCCGACGCATGCCCCGTCTCCATCTACGAAATCATGCTCAAGGTGCGCGCGTATGCGTGTGTTTATGTGCATTTG